AGGCAAAAATAGAATCATTATTTCATCAAAGTTTTTGTGTTATGCCAAATACGACTGATGTTCAGACAACGAAAAGTGACTTAACTACCTCACTTACCCAGTGGTCACTGGCTTGGCAATCTTCACTATCCAGAATACAACAATGAACTTGGAACTGAAACCCAGAACTTAAAAAGGTGCCCTTGGGTCCTAACTCAGAGTATGTTTACTCTTATTGAAGCAGAATTCCAGCTTTAAAATTTTATAACCTTTAATCAGTTCCTGGTTTAAACAAATCAGCCATTAAAAAAAAAAAACTTTGGGGACAGAAAAACAGGTAAATTTGATTAAGGACTGGACTTTAGATAGGTTAGGGAATTATTAGGGAATTACATCGATTCTATTATGCTAATAATAATATTGTGGTTATGCGGTCTTGATCTTATTTTTTAGAGAGGTATACTGAAGTATTTAGGGGTAAATGTCATGATGTCTTTATTCTCAAGTATTTCAGAAAAATGAAGTAAATATGGCAAAACATTAGTTGTTCAATCATAGTTTTGAGAATATGAATGTTTATTATATCATTTCCTCTACTTTCCTGTATGTCTTACATTTTTCATATTAAAAAAGAAATAATGGGCCGGGCACAGTGGCTCACACCTATAATCCCAGCACTTTGGGAGGCCAAAGCAGATGGACCACTTGAAGTCAGGAGTTCGAGACCACCCTGGCCAACATGGTGAAACCCCTTCTCTACTAAAAATACAAAAATTAGCCAGGCATGGTAGCGGACGCCTGTAATCCCAGTTACTCAGGAGGCTGAGGCGGGAGAACTGCTTGAGCCCGGAAGGCAGAGGTTGCAGTGAGCCAAGATTACACCACTGCACTCCAGCCTGAATGACAGAACGAAACTCTGTCTCAAAAAAAGAAGAAAGGGGGAAGGGAAGGGGAAAGGGAAGGAAAATAAAAGATTGCTTTTTAATTCCATGATGAAGACTGCTGGTCTGATTTCCTAACCCACAGTAGGTCAGAAGCTGCAAGTGGACAGGGAGAGTAGCTGCAATGAGGCATGTTGAGAGTTGGAAGAATGCAAATCGATAGCCTGACAGTAAGAGAACAGACATCAAGACTATGCTGTAAGGCCGAGGCGGGCAGATCACCCGAGGACAGGAGTTCAAGACCAGACTGGCCAATAGGGTGAAACCCCATCTCTACAAAAATACAAAAATTAGCTGGGCATGATGGCAGGTGGCTGTAATTCCAGTTACTGGGGAGGCTGAGGCAGGAGAATCGCTTGAACCCTGGAGGCAGAGGTTGCAGTGAGCTGAGATCGCACCACTGCACTCCAACCTGGGCGACAGCGACAGCAAGAGATGCCTTCTCAAAAGAAAAAAAAAAGGCTACACTGTATATAAAATGCAAACATAAGAAGTCAACGGTCTGGGGTGCTTAAACTACAAGCTATCCATGACCATCCCTGGAAGCATCTTAGCATTACAAAACTATAATTAACAGAGACTGAGGTTCACATGTTGCTTTTTATTACGGTCTAACCATAGTATTTCCTCTTACACAAAAATAATGTTACTAAAAGTTGAAAAGAAAAAATTACATGTAACAGCAGAACTCTACAACTATTAATATGCATGTATAATCTTGGCCAATATTTCCAAATGTCTATTTCAAATAAACAACTCTGGATATACTGCTTTTGGATTTATTTAAAGAATGACCATTTTCCAAGCTCTTACTTATCACATAAAGGGGAACAAGGAATGTGTAGAATGTAATTAATGAACTCCTTCCTTATTGCAAGCTAACCTATTTTTCACTTTTATACACAGCACTGCAATGACTACCACTCTGTATACAGTATTTTCTCTTTTGGATTACTGATTTAGGATAGTATTCCAGAAATGAGATTAGTGGGCCAAGGGTATGACTATATTACCAAGTTGCATTCCATTCCATACTCCACCAGTACCACAGAAGCATAATCATTTCATGACAACTTTATCTTAGGCAATGGATAAACTTGTATTTTAGTGATTCAAAAGTTGTGAAATAGCACCTAATTTTTAAAATGCTAAGTAAAACAATTAACAGAATAATGCAACATATGTCCATATGCTCCTTCAGCATTTACTTTTGTAAGACTTTCCCTAAGTCACTGAACTTTCTAAGACTTTGGTTTGTACATCTTCAAAATAACAAGACTATCAATTTCACTAGTACTCAGGGCAATGAAAACTGAAGAGGAACTATTTCTCACACATGAGATTGGCAAAATTTCAACACTGACAGGTTTCAGTGATAGATTACAGACTGGGCAGTCTCGTCTATTGCTGTGGGTGTGTGCATCTGAAACTAATCTGACAGTGTCTATTAAAATTATAGGCAATCGCAGCACTTTGGGAGGCCGAGGCAGGCAGGTGATGAGGTCAAGAGATTGACACCATTCTGGCCAACATGGTGAAATCCTGTCTCTACTAAAAATACAAAAATTAGCTGGGCATGGTGGCACATGCCTGTAGTCCTAGCTACTCGGAAGGCTGAGGCAAGAGAATCGCTTGAACCTGGGAGGCATAGGGTGCAGTGAGCTGAGATCACACCACTGCACTCCAGCCTGGCAACGGAGCGAGACTCCATCTCAAAAATAATAATAATGATAATAATAATAAAATAAAATAAAAACAAAAAGTGTACATACTCCTTAACCCAGAAATCCAACTTTTAAGACTATCCTATAAAGGGCAACAAAAAGAAAGAACTTGTCTATTACAGGATGGTTTATAATGACAAACCAGAAAAGCAGAACCACCTAAATGCTCATCAATATGGGAATAGTTGAATAAAGAGCAGTACAACCACTCCATGGAATATTAAACAGGAATTGGAGCCAGTGTATTAATTTAGAACAATATTCATGGTATACTGATATGTAAGAAAGCAAGCTGCTAGGTGATGATCACAATATAACTCTTTTTTAATTTTTAAAGGAAAAACTTTCTATGTATCATAAGCACTTATGTTTGTCACTATAAAGGCACAGAAGACCTTTCTCATACAGCAAACTACTAACAATAATTTCTTCAGATGGGGGAAGGATAAATTATTCCTCTATATTATTTGACTTATTACTGTTTGCTCATTGTAATTTTAAAATTCCCATAGATAGCAGGGATTTTTTTAAAGGAAAATTCTACTAGATATCTCTTAATTTCTAGTTAACTTTCAAAGCATATACTTCTAGAAAATGAGGTGAACAAAGGTCAAAGAATCTTTAATGAACGGTTAAATTATGTTCAAAGGCCACAACATTATGTAATATAGTTTTGTAAGGTTTACAGCAAACATAGTTAATACTTCTTTTTTTTTTTTTTTTTTTTTTCCAGACAGAGTCTCACTCTGTCACCCAGGCTGGAGTGCAATAGCACAATCTTGGCTCACTGCAGCCTCTGCCTCTCAGGTTCAAATGATTTGCCTGCCTCAGCCTCCTGAGTAGCTGGGATTACAGGTACGTGCCACCATGCTTGGTTAATTTTTGTATTTTTAGTAGAGACGGGGTTTCACCATGTTGGTTAGGCTGGTTTCGAACTCCTGACCTCAAGTGATCCACCTGCCTCAGCCTCCCAAAGTGCTGGGACTACAGGCATGAGCCACCGTGCCCGGCCTAATACTTTTTAAAGTGTTAACACAAAGGAGTAAGCAGGGGGAAAAAAAAATTAACTCATGTTAAATATCTCAGCACAGTTACCCCCAAATTCTGGATGAATGAAATACTGCGTTAGTCAAATCGCTGAGCTCTGCAAACAATTCCACCAAATGTGTGTGAGACTGTACAGTGAACTCTTCTCCCACTCACTCCTAGATTCATTTTAGTAAACAGCAACCACCACAAAGAAAAGGATTCCTATGAGTACTCGAAGAGCAAGAATCTTATTAATCTCAATTTCCTGCCTGAAACAGGAAACCAAGTTCAGTGGCTCATGTCTGTAATCCCAGCACTTTGGGAGGACAAGATGGGCGGATCCCTTGAGCCCAGGAGTAAGCGACCAGCCTGGGCAACACGGTAAAACCATCTCTACAAAAAATAAAAACATCAGCTGGGTGTGGTGGCACACATCTGTAATCCCAGCTACTTGGGAGGCTAAGGCAGGAGGACTGCTTGAGCCTGGAAGGTAGAGGCTGCAGTGAGCTGTGATCACCCCACCCCACTCCAGCACGGGAAACAGAGCAAGACTCTGTCTCAAAGAGGGGGGGAAAAAACAGGAAAAATTACTAAAGAGCATTCTAGCTAGTCTCCTCTCTAAGGAAGATCTTCTGATCAAGAAAGAAAGACATTTTAGGAGGGACAGGCCCATCCTTTCCATGTATCTAGGTAAGCTTAACATTTTATTCAACGTGAGTTACATTTCTCAAACTTTGGCCCTCATGACTAGAACTATTCAAACTTTTTTTTTTTTTTTTTGAGACGGAGTCTCGGAGTATCACTCTGTCGCCCAGGCTGGAGTGCAGCGGTGCAATAACAGCTCACTGCAACCTCCGCCTCCTGGGTTCAAGCGATTCTCCTGCCTCAGCCTCCCAAGTAGCTGGGACTACAGGCATGCACCGCCACGCCCAGCTAATTTTTGCAGTTTTAGTAGAAATGGGGTTTCACCATATTGGCCAGGCTGGTCTCAAACTCCAGACCTTGTAATCTGCTCACCTCGGCCTCCCAAAGTGCTGGGATCACATGTATGAGCCACCACACCCGACCTCACACAAACTTTAAAAGGACACATCATCAATGTTCCCAGGGGAGTGACAAGAACGTAAACATTCATGAATAACAGCAATGTTCACAGGTATGCCCAGTTTAGTGGGAATGTCATCATCCAAATCAGTCACTAGCCCCCACAGTAAGGTGGGCTTTTTAAACATTATCATCACTTTTTAAATTAGCACCCCCCCAAAAAAAAAATCAAACCTTAAACATGTTCAGTTCAATAATTCAAAAGTCTCACTTTTAAACATACCATGTCTACAATCTTCATCAGCTTGCACATAATTTTTCTGCAAAACAAAAATACAAGATAAAATTAAGTATTTCAACAGCTGCTTTTAACAGAAATGTTATCAAAGGGAAACTTGGCTTTGTTTCAAAGTTTAATCATTAATGTTGTAAACTTACTATTCACAGAGCAAAGCTAACACATGTGCCCTCTGAGGATTATAGCGCACTCTACAAATAAACGTCATAGTGTACTTCCTAGTCCATGGACCCCTACTCCTACTTCTCACCTTCTCTAACTCACCAGCACCTCCTTCCCCGCCAGCAGCTTTACTGAGAAAACTGAAGCCACAAGAAGAGAATTTTTCATAGACTGTCACCATGTCTCCCCACTTCCCAGCATACACTCTGTCTTCCTTCTACCTGTTAACAGACATACTATCGTGCTCCTTTCTAAAGTCAACCTACGCCTGTGCAGATCAACTCAGCTGCCTACGCAGGTACAGCAACTCCAGCAAGCCTCCTCGACTTGTCCTAAATCACTAATTTTTTGCTTTTGATTGGCTCATTTCTATACAGAAATACAGTTATTTCTCCCATCTAAAAAAAAAAAAAAAAGGCCCTTGACTTTATCTCTCCCACTAGCTACCATTCCTTTTTCTTTTTCCTTTTCCTTTCTCTTTCTTTTTTTCTCTTTGGTGTCTCTTCATGGCAAAACTCTTCAAGAGTTGTCTATGTTGCTGTATTTCAATTCCTTCCTCCAATTCTCTCCTAAGCTCTCTTTTTAAGCAGACTTTCACCCACTACTCCAAGGAAGCCACTCACATGAGATCACCAGTGACCTCTGCTGCATCCACATGGACCCACACGATTCACATGTGCCCACTCAGACTCATTCTCACGGCTTTCTTGGCAGCTGCTGACACCACTCAACATTTCCTCACTTGGACACACTTCCTTCCTTCACGTGGCTACCAGGACTCCTTACTCTCACACTTTCCCCCTTCCTCAGGGTTGCTCTTTAGGGTGCTTTGCAGGTTGTTGCTCTGCTCCCCAACCTATTGACACTGTAGCAGCCCAAGACTCAGCCGTCAGTCCTCGCCTCTTCCCTATAATGCTCATTTTCCCTTGGTGATTCTACACAGGCTCAAGACGTCATACAGCCCTTCTGTCCCACACTCTTCAATGAATCTCTCTCCCAAATTCCATACGTGCGTATCTGACTGCTTACTCAGCATCCTCAGCTGGGTATCTGAATGACATCTCAAACTCAGTATGTCCAAAACTCAACTCCCACCTTCCCCAACAAAACCTCCTCCCTAGCTGTAGCCTTCTAACCTCAGTTGAAGGAAACACCATTCTTCCAATTGCTCAGACAAAAAGAATCGAAGTAAGTAACTGCGACTGCTCCCCCTCATTCCCTGCGTTCAATACATCAGGAAACCTGATTGCTTCTATTTTCAATGTATAAACCAAAACCTAGTTACTTCTCACTATCTCCACTGCTACCATTCTGATCTGAGCCACTCTGGCCTGGATTATTCTAATAGTCTCCAACCTAGTATCTTTGCATCAACGCTTATCCCTTTACAGTTTATTCTCAGCACAAAAGTCAAACAATTCCTGTTAAATTAGATCACGCCACTCCTCTGCCCAAAGCCCTGTAATTAGCTCCCCAACTCACAGAGAATAAAAACCAAAGTCTTTACCACGAGCCAGCGGGCCCCACAGGCTTTAGTCCTCCCACCTCTCCACCACGTGCACTCTATTCTGGCCAAACTAACTCCTAGCTGCTACTCAAGCACAGCAGGCATGCTTCTGCTGCTGGGTCTGTTTCCATTGCCTGTAATGCCCTTCCACCAGCTTTACACATGGCTCAACCCCTTCCTCTGGTTATCACCTTCTCAATGAGGCCTGCCTTGGCCACTCTATTTAAAATTGTAACCCCATCTCTAATCCCAATATTCCCAATCTCCCCTGCCCTGTTCTCCTTTTTTCATGCAGTTATTACCTTTTAACAATTTATGGTGGTTTTTTTTGGTTTGTTTTATTTTATTTTTTTTGAGACGGAGTCTCGAAGTCTCACCCTGTCACCCAGGTTGGAGGAGTGCAGTGGTGTAATCTCGGCTCACTGCAACCTCTGCCTCCTGGGTTCAAGCGATTCCCCTGGCTCAGCCTCCTGAGTAGCTGGGATTACAGGCACGCGCTACCATGCCTGGCTAATTTTTGTATTTTTAGTACAGACAGGGTTTCACCATGTTGGTTAGGCTGGTCTCGAACTCCTGACCTCGTGATCCACCTGCCTCGGCCTCCCAAAGTGCTGGGATTACAAGTATGAGCCACCATGCCCGGCCAGTGTTTATTTTTTATAATGTTTACTGTTTATTTTCTGTTCTCCTACTAGAAAAAGTATCATAAAGAAGAGACTTTTCTTTCTCTTTCATCAATATATATAACAAGAACCTAGAACAGTGTCTAATACACAGTACATACTCAATAAATACTTGTTGAGTGAGTGCATAGTCCAAAATGCCCTAAAGTAATATAATTTTCAAGGTTCAAAAACATAGTTACCTTGCCTCAAAGATACTCAGCAATCACCAGCCACTTCACTCACATCTCGTCGGCCCAGAATTAGCTATTTGTATCGTCCCCACTCAATGAAAAAGGCCATTTTACATAGTTCAGCATTGGCTTATTGACAGTGTTTACTCACCAGTTGCAAAAATGAGGCAATTCTGTAGAGAAGACTCTCGATTTTGATGCGTTCTATTTCCAAAGGACAAGGCCCTGTGAAGTCTGCCATGGAGTACTGGCCTAGAGAAAGAAGGGCCTCTGTGCAGTGCTTGAGGGCCATTTCATAGTCCTGCCTCTTAAGTGATTCACATGCTTGTTCACATGACTTTTCCGCTCTTCTGTCTTCCATGACTCAGGGACAAAAATCCTACAGACAGGGAGAAAGAACAAGAGAAGGTTTTTAAAACTTATTAATTATAAATTCTAGCCCCATTCCTATCTCAGCTGGCTTAATTATCTATCTGAACACTCTCAGCTAGCCTTTTGATCAAGGTCATGGCTAAGCAGCAGCTATTGATGCTACAAAATCTATACTTCTCTTTGATATTTTATGAAGTCTTTACTAAGATTCAAGCAAAATGTCAATCATAAGCCAAGATCATACCAACAATATAACAAATTTATAAATGAGACAAATTTAGAAATGAAATATGACTGTGAATATTGCAAAGTATTCAACAAACCATAAAGGATTCCCTTTCTTAACCAAAGGGACAGAAACATTTCATATCCAAACCTCCAAATTTCAGTTTTCTAATTTCATTCTCACAGTTCTGTGACCATGATTGCAGAAAACCAAAATCTATACCATGCAGGATTATTTCCCACCAATTAAAAAACTGGTTGGAACTGTTTGAACTGTCCATTAATTCAATTCAACAAACATTTCTCAAGGGCTAGGCCCTGTGCTAGCAGCAATGAATACAACAGGGCATGTCATCACTGCTTTCAAGAAACTCAGATTCTAGCAAGAGAGGCAAAGCACAAATGAACAATTACAAAAAAGACTTATTCCATCTGCCTAAAGGCATGAGCTGATTGCGAAAGGTGAACAGGAGTTCACCATACAGATGATAGAGAGAGCAAATGCGAGCTTTTCAGAGAGAAGAGTTCAAGTGAATCACCAAGGGGAGAAAGTACACAGCCTAAACTCAAGGTACAGAAAAGTAAGAGAAACTATGAATGACCTCAAATGCCACAACAAGAAACGAGGGTTTTATTCCATAGGCAATGGAACACAATGAAATTTTTTAAATAAGGAAGGAATCTATCAAATATAAGTCCGACCAGCTCTATAAAGAACTGGTTAGAAGTAGAAGAAACCACAGGCTTGCCACAGGGGAAGAAATGGCAAGCACTGCCATTAGTAAGAGATCACTAAAATAGTCCAAGTAAGAAATAGCAGGAGTTTACACATTGTTTCTCCCTATCTATATCACTCATAGCAGGAGCAGTAAACTTGGACACAGAAGACCGACATCCTTTGACCTGACATTCACAATACTGTTCCAAACAGTCCCTCTTGCTGACCATCTCTCTCAGACTTACAGATTGCTTTCCATGCCTGCATCCACCTTCTCTCTCTCCTGCTCTTCCCTACCTTCCACCTTAACCAGCTGGCTTCATGGTACTTCTCTGTCCCTTCCGCCTGCCTCCAGCCTACATATACATTCTCTGCCAGCCTTCCCAGCTTTGATAATGACACACGGGCCCTGCCCTCTCCTCACTGTGCTATAGCCATCTGCTGCCAATAAACTGCAGTGCAAGATGAGGGTAGAAAAGTCATTGATGGGCAGCCCATAGAGAGTGGCAAGAGGCAAGATGACAGACATCTGAAGAGGTCTAAGCCCCTTCAGCTTTTGAGATTCTTAGTCTACCAAAACAGTAGAAATAGCTAGGCAATGAGATAAGGAAGAGTTCAAACAGGACTTCAACAATATCTGTCAGATTTGTTCAATGTTGGGGATTTACACATGTGGTACAATATAATATTCCCTACTTTTCTCAGTTTGGAATTTTTAATTAATTTTAACACTTTTTTTGGGACAGGGTCTCACTCTGTTACTAGGCTCGAGAGGAGTGGTACAATCACTGCTCACTGCAGCCTTGACCTGCCAGACTCAAGCAATCCTCCTAACTCAGTATCACAAGTAGCTGGGACTACAGGCATGCACCACCACGTCTGGCTAAATTGTTTTTATTTTATTTTTGTAGTGACGGGGTCTCCCTATGTTGCCCAGCCTGGTCTCAATCTCCTGGGCTCAAGCTGTCTTCCCGCTTCAGCCTACCAAAGTGCTAGGATTACAGGTGTGAGCCACTGCACCAAGCCTAAATTAACACTTTAATATAAAAAGAGAAATCTAATTGTGTTATTAAGATAACCTCCCCCCCCCCACCCCTCCAAAAAGAGTATTTATCCTTGGTCTTCTACAGGGTTTCCGTTTAAACTTCCTCAGGGGGCGGGGGAAGGGGCTGTAATTCCCAGTTTAGTTTAAGGGTAAGGGGATTTAAATATTTAAGTCACAGTTGGTATGTATGCTTCTTATACAAACATATATTGATGTGGGTGAAATCAATTATTCAACAAAAGTCAAAAACAATTTCTGTATCACTACAGCAATGTTGCCCATTAGACAAAGAGTGGCATTACAAAATAATTACTAACTTATGATATAGTCCAGATATAAAATATCAACACTATTAACATTTTGGGCTTAACAATTTTTTGTTGTGGGCCGTTCTGTGCCCTGTAGGTTATTTAGCAATCATTATCCCTAGTCCCTACCAGCTGATGCCAGTAGCACATCCCCTGACTGTGACAACCAAATATGTCTTCAGTAAACGTCTGGAGAGGGTAAAATCAGCTCTAGTTGAGAACTACTAATATAGACAAGCACACACTGCTTGCCAGATAACAGCAACACAAGATTCATAAGTCCATGGATACCAGAGGCCCTAGAATTAGCAAATCTTCCCTACAGAACTCCCAGCTCAGATCCAGACAAATAATACAAAAAGAAGTAGTAAGAAAACAAAGCTAATAATGTACCAGCTAAAATCTTTCTTAGGAATGAGTACAGCACAGTGATCCAGAGCACAGACTAGGAGCCAGAGGACCTGTGTTCAGAATTCACCAGCTGTACCACTCTCCAGCTGCATGGCCTGAGGCAAGGGGGTTTACATGGATTATTTCAACTTGCTCACCTCTAAACTGGGAACACAACTAATACCTACCTCCTGGGGTTACTGTAAGGATTAAGTGAAATAATACCTATAAAGTACTTAAAAGAATGCCTGGGACATAAGTGCTCAATAAGTGTTAGCTATTATTATGTCCCTAAAATTCCTTATTTTCACTTTATATAAAGCTTTTTTTGGGGGGGCGGGGGGACAGAGTCTCGCTCTGCAGCCCATGCTGGAGTGTAGTGGTGCAATCATAGCTCTTGTAGCTTCACACTTCGGAATGATCCTCCTGCCTCAGCCTCCCGAGAAGCTGGGACTACAGGTGCATGCCAACTGGCTGATTTCTTTTTTTATTTTTATGTAGAGACAGGGTCTCACTGTGTTGCCTAGGCTAGTCTTAAACTCTTGGCCTCAACAGATCATCCCGCCTTGGCCTCCCAAGTGCTGGGATTACAGGCGTGAGCCACCACACCCAGCCTATATAAAGCTGAAATCACTTTACTGATCTCAACATACAATAGAGTACAGACAATAAAGTATTATTCTATGTAATTACTTTACCTACTTGACAGAGGAATTATTTTCACCTATTTTCTCCATCTCAATACACGGTAATGATTACGCAAAGAATAGCCATTGGAGAAATAAGTATATCTGCAAGTCACTGATAAGGATTAGCTAAACCCTAAATCTGGCTATGAGGGATGATCACAAAGACTACTATCAACATTGATCCCCAAGCATATTAGTCAGAGAGATCTTGATAACATTAATATATAAGTAGAGATTAAGGGCAGAACTATGAATTTCAGGAGCTTTGAGAGGAAATGACTCAATTTATGACCCAGGTGCCTTCCTCAGAAGTGAGTATCTACCCCGATTACCTTTGTGAATCAGGTCCTGATACCTAGTTTCCAAGGTCTACCTGAATCACAGTAGGGTCACCTAGCTGTAGTGTGGAACTCAATCCAACGCATGCTCCCTTCAGCTGTTTTTTCGAGTTTTTCAGAAAACAGCATGACCTTACTGTACCCACTCCTTCTGAAGAAGCTAAAGTGGTTTATCAAGCATAAAAGCAAAACTGTCTGTCAAAGTCAAAATGAGAAAACACCTCAGGCCATGCTAAAATGGACTATGGATAATACACAATGAGAGATCTAGAAGTACTTCTAAACAAGGCCAGCTCCCAGATATACTTCAAGAGTATAGCTGACACCCTGTCTAGGACACATGGATACATCTGTATCTATTGTACGTGATCCTGCTACCTGAACCTAACAGCCAGATTCAAGGGCAGATACTGACTAAGTTGGGTCTCTAAGGATTTTTCCCATGGGGACAGAGTGGCCCAGGGAACGGAAGTCACTGGAGCTGAGTCACATTAAGCACACTAATGTAGGAAGAAGCATCACATTCGCCCATTGCTGAGGTCCACCCCATCTGTCTTGACTCTTTCTCTTCCTGTTAAAAATTATCCAAACTTGGCTGGGCGTGGAGGCTGACGCCTGTAATCCCAGCCCTTTGGGAGGCAGAAGCAGGTGGATCACAAGGTCAGGAGATCAAGACCATCCTGGCTAACACAGTGAAACCCTGTCTGTACTAAAAATACAAAAAATTAGCTGGGTGTGGTGGCACGTGCCTATAGTCCCAGCTACTCGGGAGGCTGAGGCAGGAGAACTGCTTGAATCCAGGAGGCGAAGGTTGCAGAGAGCTGAGATTATGCCTTTGCACTCCACCCTGGGCAACAGAGCACGACTCCTTCTCAAAGAAAAAAAAAATTATCCAAACTTCTATCAAAAGAACATAAAACACTAATTTCCTGCAAACTCCTATCCCTATGAGAAACACTGACTTGGAGGATGTGACTTCACAAGCAAGAAAGCTGAAATCAGAAACCAGCACTCTAATCCAAATCCACTAACTCCTCTGATCTGCTGCTGACCTATAAAAAGAGACTAATACCATGCAATGAACATTAGTTGTTTTGCCACCAAATACCCATTCCCTTTCCTGGTAATAAAAGCCTACAATTTCCCTTTGAGAATTCACCTCCCCCCATCTCTCAGACCATGTGGTTCCTGTGCGGGGTGGCATGTGACACTAACTGGCCAATATAAGCCTCACAGTCCTGAACACAGGGATTGGCTCAGGGTAGGACATATGACCCTGTAAGAGCCAATGAGA